CCAAGCCATCACTCCCAGGACGTGAGGGGGTCTCGATGTCCTTTCCTTTGCAAAGGGAACCCCAGACCTCCTGGGGGGCTGGGGAGCCCCAGGCTCTGCCCTCCACGCTGCCAGCCCCACGCACCTAGCCAGTGCTCTCCAGTCAGCTTCCCGAAGCCGTCCCGGTAGGCTTCCCAGCCACGGAAGAAGTTCACGGTGCCGTCCTCCCGCCGCTGGAACACCTGGGGAGACACCCGGGGTGTCAGCTGGGGCTGCTCTGAGCCTGGCACCACGGGCAGCCCCCCTGCTCCTGCCCATTCCTCCCCCCGCTGCCTGACCCTGCCTCATTAGACACGGGCACAAATTAAACCCTTTCCACTCAGTAATTACGTGGGGACACCGGGAGCAGGTCCCCAGGGAAATGTCGGATCATTATCTGCCAGCTCCCAGGGATGGGTGAGTCGGTTCAGATAAAATCCTTCACCAGATCCTCCTCCTGGAAACAGGAGTAGGGCTTGGGGAAGTCACCGTGTGTCCCTGCAGGAAGGTGGCCGGTGCCCTGGGAGGGGTGGGTACCCTCAAAACAGCCTGGACTCTGCCTCTGTATGTGGGAGCAGAGCTAAGGATGGATGGAAGGATGGATGGATGGACGGACGGACGGACAGTGTAGTTTGAGGTCTGTCCCTGCAGCACGTGCTGCCCAGGTCAGCCCAAGCCAGCCTGCAAACCCAGTACTGTGCAAATCTGAGCAGCTTATTTCCCCCTCCTGGGTCCCCACTCTCCCCCATTATCTGGCATTGTTCCTGCGATGGCCTCGTTGGTCTCCCAGAGAAATTAACTGTGGGGCAGTGACCACCCCCACCCCAGCAGAGCCCCCGGATCCTGGCCAGATCCCCGGGACTCAGCCCAGCTTTTCTCCTCGGAGCCTTTCCCTTTGCCTCTCCCATCTGCTCACAGGCATATCGTGCCTTCTGCGTTTCATCCCCTTTTATCTATAGTTTTGGGTTTGATTTATTGACAGTGATCCATAAAATGCTGCTCTGTGTCCGACCATTTGAACTTAATTAAGCTTCCAGCCCTGGATTAATTGCAGTAAACTTGGCTGAGCCACCCTGTCCGATTGCCACCAAGCGCCATGCTCCCGGGGCGGGTGCTGGGTGATTTAGGAAGAGCCAAGGGGTCAGAGCACCTTGTCTTTGGGGCTGAGCTGTGGTGCTGAGCCCATCCCAGCACCCCAGGCTCGGCAACGGCGCCGAGCCCCAGC